ACTTTCCCCCTTTTATCTTAAACCTATGTCCCCTAGTAACTGACGTTTCTACCCTGGGGAAAAAGACACCAACTGTCCATTCTATCTGTGCCTGTCATAATTTTGTAAACTTCTGTCTAGTCACTCCTCATCCCTTGACGTTCAAGTGAAAACCACTCAAGTTTGTCTAATCTCTCCTCATAGCTAATACCCTCCAAACCAGGCAACATCCTGGTAAACCTTTTCTGTGCCCTATCCTTCTGCTAGTGCAGTGACCAGAACTGTACTTGATATTCCAAATGTGGCCTAAATAAAGTTATATACAGCTGGAACATGACTTGCCAGTTTCTGTATGTTATACCCTGACCGCTGAAGGCAAGCATGCCATAGGCCTGCTTCATCACCTAATCCACTTGTGTTGCCAGTTACAGGGAAGTTCATCTTCCTTACCCTCATACTTCGCACATTAAAACAGATTCACCTCTGACCTCCAGTCCTGCCATGTTCAGTAACATCTCCCTGGTCTGTTCTTCCTCTTAGCCTTACTGGCCTTAGTCTCTTATTCCTCCTCAGTGATTTTATTGCTCTGGTTCTTGCCCCCTGCCACACTAGTTTGAACCCTCCCAAGTAGCACTAGCATACCTCCCTGCCAGGAGATAGCAAAAACTGCAGATGCTTGAGCCAGAGTCAATACAGTGTGGAGCTGGAGGAACACAGCACGTCAGGGGTTTGTCAGAGGTGGGAGAAGGGGTTTGTCGAGGGTGGGTTAGACTCCTGGTCAAAGAAATAGGGGCCGAGGCAGTGGAAAAAGAGTTCAACATCCAGATGTGAACAGAATTCATTGATGTGTGGGCGCGGGGCAATGAAGGTAAGTCCTTTACTGAGGACCTAGTCCTGATGAAGGGTCTAGGCCCGCAACGTCAAATTTCCTGCTCCTCTGCTGCTGCCTGACCTGCTGTGTTCCTCCAGCTCCACACTGTGTTGTCACTGAACCTCCCTGTCAGGATATTTGTGCCCTCAATTTCAGGTTCAACCTGTCCTCTTGAACAGGTCTCACTTGCCCCAGAAGACATCCAAGTGATCCACATAGCTGAAAGCTATCCCTCCTAACCAGCTCTTTAGTTATGTATTTAACTGTATTATCTTCCTATTTGTAGCCTCACTGGCACGTAGTGCAGGATGTAATCCCGGGATTACAGCCCTCAAGGTCCTGCTTTTAAACTTCCTACCTAACTCCCTGAACTCCCTTAGCAGAACCTCAACTCTCTCTCTGTGTCCTTAGTACCAATATGGACTACAACCTCTGGCTGCTTACCCTCTCCTTTCAGAATATCCTGTACCCACTCATTGATATCCTTGACCCTAGCACCAAGGAGGCAACATAGCATCCAGGAATCTCACTCACAGCCACAGAACTGACTATCTGTGCCCCTGACTATAGAGTTCCATATCACTCCTGTTTGTTACAGTTCAACACTCCCTGCTGTGCAACAGTGCCAGTTGTGGTGCCATTGCTCTGCTTTCTCCAGAGAGGCCATTCCCCCCCAACAGTATCCAAAATGGCCTCTCTGAGAGGGGAACGGCTATAGGGGACTATGCTGCCTGCCCCTAATTGTTCATCACCTTGGTGGTCACCCAATTCTCTGTCCGTGTAGCCCTTACTGGTGGAGTGATCAGCTCACTAAACCTGCTATCCAGGACCTTCCCAGCCTCATGGATGCTCCATAGTGAGTCCGTCTGTAGCTCTAGGCACTCCATGCAGCAAATCAGGAGCTGCAGCTGAGCACATTTCCTGCATATGTAGTCATCATGGACACTCGAAGTGTCCCCGGTTTCCCACACGATGCAGGAGGAGCATTCCACAGGGCTATGTTCTCCAGCCATTTCGAACCTCATCAACTAAGTCAACCTTATTGACTACAGACAAAAATCCAGGGACTGGTTACGCAGCCCTTACTCACTGGTCACCAAACTCAGGTCTCTCACTCCTGCTCTCTATTCTTAGCAGATTACAACTACATAAAGTAAATACTTTATCTCTCTCCGGGTACTACTCGGTGTGTGAATTTGGTTCCTGAGCAGTCAAGCCTATGTGGTGCCGGAGCCGATTTCTCCCAGAATCCCACTTGGTCACTTCTCACCAGCTCCCTCTGTTACCTCCTCACTCTCCAAAGCCTGCCCATCATCTGCAAAACTGAGCTCAGCTCCCACACCACCTTGAGCTCAAACCCATCCAAAACAAAGCATTCTGCTTGTTTAAACATTCACTTCCTCCATCACTGAAGCACAGTGACAGCAGTGTGTACCATCCACAAGACGTACTTCAGAAATTCATCAAGGCTCCTTTGACAGCACCTTCCAAAAACACATGACTGCTTCCATCTAGAAGATCAAAGGCAGCAAGTGATGAGCATACCGTCAAGATCCCCTCCAAACCACACACCGTCCTGACTTGGAACTGTATCATCCATTCCTTTACTGTTGTGGGTCAAAAACCTGGAAATGCCTCCCTAAGCATTGTGGGTCCACCTACACCCCATGGGCTGCAGCAGTTCAAGTAAGCAGTTCACCCTTACCTTCTCCAGGGCAATTAGGGATGGGCAAGAAATATTGCCCTAGCCAGCAGCACCCACTCACTGTGAAAGAATATATTTTGAAAATTATATACGTTATTTTTCATCGGCCTTGTCAACTTTATTGTCATTTTGCATGACTTGGTTATATGAACTAGCAGTTCTTTCTATTCCTGTAAATCCTCTCGTTTAAATTACCTCTTTTTGTTGCTTCCAAAGTGCGTCACATCACACTTTGCTAAGTTATGTTTCTGTGCCATGTCTCTGCAGGATCTATAGGTTTCTTTTCCCTTCTCAGAGGATAACATTGGCACCTCTGAACTGTATTTGCTGCTGACGTCAGTGGATTGAATTTCCTTCTGTTCAAGCTAGACATGTAAACAAGCGCAGACTGGTCATGAGCAAATGTCTCTGAAATGACTGCCCTCTGTCTCTGTATGTGTGTGTGTGTGTGTGTGTGTGAGAGAGAGAGAGAAAAGGAAATCTGCAAGAGGATCTGTTACGCCTATTGTAATAACCTCGTTTTTTTATTCTTTAAGAATATCATTGCAATTGCAATCAAAAAACTGTCTTGTTTGGTTTGCCAGCGAGCAGCAATATAGGATACAATGTATAAATGTGATTTGTTTTTAGAAATTATAAATTGAGATTCAAATAGCGTATCCTCTTTTATGACCATTCCATCACTAATGCCTGTGGCTCAGGTACTAGACTATAAACTCTAAAATTTCTGTAGGAATGAAGAGGTGCGTTGTTCCTTGAAAGTGGAATCGCAGGTAGACAGGGTGGTGAGGAAGGCGTTTGGTACGCTTGCTGTCATTGGTCAGTACGTTGAGTAGGAGTTAGGATGTCATCCTGTGGCTGTACAGGACGTTGGTGAGGCCACTTCTGGAATACTGTGTACAATTTGGGTCGCCCTTCTGTAGGAGGAGTGTTGTTAAACTTGAGAGGGTGCAGAAAAGATTTACAAGGATGTTGCTGGGACTGGAGAGAGGCTGAATAGGCTGGGGCGTTTTTCTCTGGCGCATCGGAAGTTGAGGGCTGACCTTGTAGAGGTTTATAAAATCATGAGGGGCATTGATAGGGTGAATAGACAAGGTCTTTTCACTGGGGTGGGGAGTTCAAAAGTAGAGGGCATAGGTTTAGGATGAGAGGAGAAAGATTTAGAAATGATCTTTAGGGATAACTTTTTCATGCAGAGGGTGGTGCATGTATGGAATGAGCTGCCAGAGGAAGTGGTGGAGGCTGGTAAAATTACAACATTTAAAAGGCATCTGGATGGGTATATGATTAGGAAGGGTTTAGAGGGTTATGGGCCAAATGCTGGCAAATGGGACTAGGTCAGATTGGGATGTCTACATGGACAAGTTGGACCAAAGGCTCTGTTTCCATGCTGTATGATTCTAAATCCACAGAAATTCACTTGATTAATGCAAAAGCCATTCAGCCTTTTGTCCTCGTGAGCTCCCTCCCTGCCTAATTTATCGCGCTCTATCAACATTTCCTTCTATTCCTTTCTTCCTTATGTGTTTTCCAGCTTCTTTTCCATTCAACCACTCCCTGTGATAGTAAATCCCACATTCTCATCACTCTCTGGGTTGAGAATTTTCTCCTGAATTTCCCTACTGGATTTATTAGTCTCCTGTTTTTGGCCCCTACGTTTGGCCACCCACACAAGTGTTGACATCTGTATGTTTTTATCCTACTGAATACGTCATAAATTTGAAGACCTCCATTAGGTCACCCTTCGGCCTTCTCTTTCTTGATTAAAAAAAAAGTTCTAAAAGAAAAATGCAAGGAATACGAAGATTAATGTTTGAGACAGAGAATAGGTTATAATTCTTAGCTTCTTTTTAGTCTTTCAATCACGCTGTACTTCCTTATTTCTTTATCAAGCCCTATAAATCTCTTAAGATATCCATGCTGCACAAATTCTGGCTTCTTGCGTATCCCCTTTTATGACCATTCCATCACTAATGGCTGTGGCTCAGGTACTGGACTATAAACTCCAAAATTTCTGCCCTCAACTAGTCCATCTCTCTCTGCTCCTTTCAAGACACTCCATAAAACCTCTCTCTTCAGTTGTATCTCCTGATGTGGTTCAGTGTCGAAATTTGGCTGTTAACATTCTAAGGTTTTGGAGTAGATTTGTAGCTCGGGTTGTGGATGTTTTGGCTGTTAACATTCTTGTGACCCAGCATGGGACATTTCAATTTCACGATGTAACATAAATGGATGTTATTGTTTGGTTCCACCTTGATCTTTTCTGTTGCTACTGACTGGTCTGCTGTATATATCTCGCATGTATGTGTTTGATTGTGATCTGCAAAGAAAGTTTGTTTTTATACTGTATGCCGCTATTATAGAAATGCATCTAGGAGTGGTCCTGGATAGCCTGGGCAGTGGATATGTAGAGTGTGGTACTAATCTCCCTTTCTTTTGCCCTAGATCCACATGAAAACAATGCCTGCTGCCATGTACAGGCTGCTGACTGCGCAAGAACAACCAGTTTACATCTGAAAGGGCTGTTACAATGACCCAGTGTGCAAAGTGGATATGTCTGTGTGGTTTGATTGTGTTAATCATTGCTGCATTCCTGCAGTGTCAGAAACTACAATATTTTTTATTTAAACATGCTTGGTTTGACAAAAATCTGTTGAAAAATCTTTGATGCCTTTCAGAGATGCAGCTTTGTGTGGTTTATATAGAAATGAACATAAATATATTCCCACAGACTAATTCTCAGTAATCCACAAATAGGCAAAGTAACTGGGCACGTATAAAGTTTGATGTTATTTAAGAGAGAAGCTTTCACAGTAACCATTTCAGCACCATTGAAGATGTCATTAGGAAACATTATTTAACCTAAAAGAACTGACTATGAGCATTTAGAAAGTTATGAAACTTGCATTATGGAGTGTGTTCTACTAAGAACGACTCAAACATCCAAATTTTCATTGCTAACATTTTTTAAAAAAAAACATTCCCACTGTTATTCCTCATTTATTTATGGTTACTTCCCTGAAACATTCCCCATACATTGTTGTTTAAAGTAGTTGTTATTTTGAAAATATTAATTGGTTTTGTTTTCTTCTATTTCAATACTTTTAAAGCCATTTACTGATGCACTGTGTGAAGCTAAGATCATTCCATTGACTCCAATTTATAAAATAAAAGGCTCTGGGACATAATTATCATTGTTAATTTTAACAAATCTTCAGCTGAGATTATAAAATGGGGAACACTATTTTATACTCGGGTCTACTTTCTTTTTCTGTAAGCATAAAAATCAGCAAAGAGAGGCAAATATCCCCCCCACCAAATATGTTTACATAATCCCTTCATCTGTAGCTACTGTTCTGTCAAAATTAATTTGAAACTACATTGGCACATTCTAGTTAAGCTAATGTTGTGTTTTGCAATGAGGGAGGTAAGAATAGTTTTGAACAGAGGTTTTTTGGGTAACTTAAAAATATGATAATTGTGAATAATATTTTTACATCAGGCACCCTACCTTCACATTCTGCAACAATTTTTGCAGCCTAAAATCTCATTACTTAACTCCCAACGTGGTAGATGTGGGCATATAATTCTGTGTAGCAAATTTTACTTGCAAACTCCTGTTGCTCAAGTGGAGAAAAGGCTAGGACTCAGCCATTCTTTCATCCTTTTAACTCGGAAAGCATCGATTTCACACAGAAAAGACAGCACTCCGCTTAAATTCATTACTTAAATATGTTTAAATGCCTGTACAGTGCTGTGGGATCAATAGCTGCCAGGTTTGCAGTGCTGTGCCCTTATTTGGCGGCCTGCACTTTAAGGTCTAAAATTTCTATTTGATGAGGACACATTTAGTTAGCCACATAGATAGCTCTGTAGAAGAAGTGACTTTGAATTGTACAAGGTGTCTTTTCACAGCAAGACTTCACACACCACAGAAGCAGAAAATACAAATCTTAATCTGTGCAGCAATTCAATCCGAGAATAAGTTTAGCCAAAACTGGGCAGTAAGTGTCAGGTACTTAAAACCACTGGGTTCATTTTCTGAAGAAGCGTCTAGGCCCGAAACGTCAGCCTTCCTACTCCTCTGATGCTGCTTGGCCTGCTGTGTTCATCCAGCTCTACACCTTGTTATCTCAGATTCTCCAGCATCGGCAGTTCCTACTATCTCTGGGTTCATTTCCATTTGATTAAGATGAGAATGAGGTCTTATAGAGTGTTGTTACGTATCCCATCATCGCTAGTTTCACAGTCATTGATATCATGGTAATGGAACATCTGTTTCATTCCTCATCTATGGAATTAAATTAGACCAGAATAGTTTATGAATGAGCATCCTGGAATTGTCAAGGTTCACTCCTGCTTCAGATCAATATCAGAGACAACAAGGTGCAGGGCTGGATGAACACAGCAGGTCTAGTCCTATGATGGTAGCAGACCTGCTGTGTTCATCCAGCCCTGCACCTTGTTGTCTCGGATTCACCAGCATCTGCAGTTCCCACTATCTCAGATCAATATCACCCTGTTTACATGCAAGTCAAAAATGCTAACCTCACCTACAAACCTGTCAGACTCTGTAGCATCATTACTTGAAGTAATTATAGTGGCATGGCACAAACCAATGGGTTTCAGTCATTCAGTGACTTGGGTAGTTAATATTTATAATCAAATACCTGCAGCTGCCGATGTGAACTTAATGTAAATACCTTACACAACCCTAGAACATAACTTTTTTGTCCAGTGGTGCAATAGCAAATAACATTAAACATCAGGAAGCTATAATGATGCAGTGTAACAAAGCTGTTCCTTGTAAAGTTATGTCAACTAATGTGTGTCGGGTGTTAATTATGATTGTTGGAATAATGCACTTCTTATGAATGTAGTTCCTATTCCAGTGTTTGTTTTGTCATAAGTTCAGATTTTTTTTTGTGTTTATGATACAGCTACAATATTTGTTTATTTATTTTACTATTAAGGATATATTTTGGGGTTAGGGTAAGGGAGCAAGGGGGAAGAGAGTGGCGTGTCTAATGATTTACATTCCTGTTTCCGTTTTTCCATGTTTAAAACGAAAGAAATTCCAAAAACTTGTTGCAGTGGGTTAAATATTGGTTATTCTGTTTTTAAAAGAATGGTTTGTAAGCTCGATCAGACAATATATAAATACACTGTATACATATGTATACATATATACATTCTAACTGGGTTTTGGGGAGGGGGGAGGTTGTCTTCAGAGTGGGGTCGATATTAACTCTTTGGGGGTGACCAACTGGGTCTGGTGATCAGAGTGAAAGAGACTGAAGCTGTCTTGAAGTTTCAGCTTCCTTTAAGTTGATTTGGGGAATGTGGGCTGCCAAGGTGTTGCTGTAAAATGGGCCGTTGATTCGGGTAGGTGCAGGAGGAAAGGAGCCAAAGGGGGACATTGGTAAAAAGAGGAAGTCAGGATGGTTTCTATGAGTTTTGGAGGTGCCCTTCACTTAACCTCCCCCGCCTTCGTCACCAGTGCCTAGTCTAGGAATCCTCCATCTCTGCTCTAAAGTAGCAACTGGGGTCCCATATATGTTATAGGATACCAATGGTCATATGTAAAGGAGCCAGTTGGCTCAATAAGATCAGTTGGCTGACTGAGGCAGTGGGGGGTTGGGGGGGCGGGGGTGGGATGTGAGAGTGCCTTTTGAAAGACGTGTCTTTAAAAACTCCCGAGGTTGCTGACCCTCTGACTTCAAAGATTGATCTCCAGGTAACCGCTACAATTGAGAAACCATTGGAGGGGGAGGAGGACTATTGAATAAATAATTTTATTTGACATTTTCTTTGAATTTCTAGTTGGAACAATCTTTGGAGATTGTTTGACAGTGTGGCGATGAGTGCTAAAGATCTCCGGGAACATTGGACTTGGCTGCCCACAAACCAGCCAGTTGTGAGGCTGATTTCAGAGAGTTAACATCAACCCCAAGGAGTTTAGATGTGACTGAGCAGAGCAAAATGACAGTGTTCTTTGTATCCTATTGAAACCTAACTTACTCTCAGAGAGAAAACACACTGTTTGTTCATAATATATTACAGATATAAAATATATGTATTTTGACGGTACAAAGCAAATGAGAGAATGGGAGGGGGGGAGGGGAGAATGAAACTTTGAAAAATGAGTCTCTATTCCATCCCTCCCCCCTCCTTTGAATGTGCATCGGGTAAGATATACCAGAGTGATGACAAAAAAAAACTACATTGTGTGTGCAGGCAACGCACAGCAATTGACAACATTCTATCAATTCAGTTTGAACAAAAGTGTTTTCTCAAGTGTAAATGAAAAGTGCCCAGCAGGTCAGGCAGTGTCTGTATGGAGACAGAGAGGGGAGCAGAGTTAATTTGCAGGTTGGTTGGCCCTTTCCTCTGAACTGGAAGCAGAGTCCAGCATATTCTGGTTTTATGTCAAGTTTCCAGCAATCTGCAGACTACAGGGTGGGGCGTGGGGCTTTGATTTCAGGCAAGGTTCTTTCGAGGAAGGACCAAATAAAGCATTGTTTCATTTCAGTCCAGAGATCGCAGTGCAGTGTATTTGAGACAAAGCGGTACCACACGACAGCACTGAACTGATCTCTTCACAGTGAATTCAGTGTGTTTCTTTAGAGGAGGTGGAAGGGGCACGTACCCCCACCACCCACCAGGAGTTAATTACTGACCTTCCCTATATTGGTTCTTCATGGCCTCCCATGTCTCTACTGTGACTGACAATTCCACGTGTTGCCTCTCTGTAGCTGCCGTGCTGTGTGTTGCATGTATTTACCTCTGTAACAGATTGTGTTCTGGCACCTTAAGCACAGGGCACGTGTCTCGCAACTCTGACCAATAAAGTCTACCAGAAACCAATGAATTCACGGCCTCAATTTGTTAAAGATATCCAACCTGTCATTGTCAATTGTGCTGAAATTCAGGTGAAAGCTCTTTGGGATGGTGATCCTACAACTGGTAAGAACAATGGATTCAGTTTTTTATTTGTAAGTAAATCTTGCATGGTTTACTCCTATTTCTAATTCTCCTATTAAAATCAACTGGGCTTGATGAATGTGGATGCTGGGGTACAGTCCTAGCATTGTTGAGGCATAGTGCCAGGATTGTTGCAAGCCTTGCAGTACTTCCTCCAAGTAACCATTCCTCAGAGTTGCACCTCAGTGTGAACATTGATAGGCTTTTGAACATGGGGCCATTCCATTTGATCATGATCTTGCTTTCACTCATCTCCTCACGAAGGAAGCATGTTTGAGGCAATGTGATAATTTAAACAAGGGCAGAGTGAGTTGGCAAGCTTGCTTTACAGTGTTTCCCAGTTTAACTTTCAGGAGAAATCGGGATCGGGTGAGATGTCAGACAAGCTGGCTACTGATTCACCATCACATTGCTGCACATCATTACACAGTCAGAATCTACTCAGGTTCCAGGAAAGGTCACTCGATGCTTTTCCAACACTCCTGGTTTCTCATCTTCCAGTCTCTGTATGATTCACATTATCCAGAACTTTGCTGCCCATGTCCTAAGTTGCACTAAGACCTGTAAACACATCAATCATCCCCTGTGTTTACTGAGCTTTGCTGGGTTTAGGTCTAAATGTTCATCCTCATCTTTTAAACCCCTCCATGGCGTTGCCTCTTATTTCCAGTCTCCTTCGGTGTTCCAGCCCTTTTGAGGTCTCTGCTCTCAGCCAACTCTCTTGTGCATTCCCTGGTTTTAGTTGCTCCACCATTGGTGGCAGGGCCTGAAGTTCAGTAATTCCATTCCTAAAGCCACCCTCCCGTAATATGATTCTTTAAACCTGTCATTGATCCTGTGCTAAAATCTCCTTAAGTAGCTAGCAGTCAAATTATTGTCTGATGGCACTCTTGTGAAAGAAGTTGGGGAATTTTATTACACCAGAGGTGTATTATAAATGCAAGTTGTGGTAACCACATAAAAACAGTGACGTGAGAGTTTTTTTTAAAGCAATTGTCTGCACATAAGACCAAGTTTGAAGTTGACTAAAAACTGCTGTAGTGATTTAAACATGCCATATATTACATTGAGTAACAAATGTAGTGTGAATACGTTTATCATTTTTGGGAATATGCTGGTCATTCCTGCAGTTTGAAACGTTTCTTTCAGATGAAATATTTTGAAATGGTGCTGCAGTCACTTTCTCTCAGACATCTAGCCACATTCAGACGTGAGGTGATTTTGGTGTTTCTTCAGTCTCCTTTGGAAACATTTTCACACACAGAACCAATAGCTTGCAGGGAAGGTGTGAACAAAGTCATAGAACAGTTTGTCACATTTTTCTTTGCAATGTGCCTAACGGAAGCAAATGGTTGACACAGAGAAAAACTAGATTAAGTAAATTTCTTCTACTCTTCCTAATCCCGTTAAATATATGAAAATATGGCCCCTTTTATCTGTTTACAACAATCTTTTTTTAGCCATAGATTGACTAGCTGCCACACAATTGTAAACAAATGTTTGCTCAGTTTGATTATATTAACTGTCTACGCCAGTAACTTTGATTCCCCAGCCTTTTCTAGTCACTGCCTGTATACTTTGAAGGATATGTAAACACAATTTTCTATAACCATCCTTATAAGTAATTTAACCTAATTTATTGGGAAGAATCAGATCTAACCAAAACGATTGAAGATTGATTGCATGTTTCAATAACTACAGTAATTGTCCCATTTCAGTAACAAATTTGGCAATGGGGTCTGAGCACATCAACACGATTGGAAGATCAAGTTCAATGTGCAGATTCGTCCATTTCATAGGTGCAACAGAGGCCAATTGATCCATGTGAATGGTTATGCTTGAAATGAACCTCATTCCAACCCTCTTCAGCTCATCTATCAGCATATTTTTCTTTTCCTTTCTCTGCTCCGGTGTGTTTACCTAGCTGCTCCTGCATGTATCTAGACTCTAGGCATCACAGTGGTGCAATGGTTAGCACTGCTGCCTCACAGTGCCAGGGACCCAGGTTCAATTCTAGCCTTGGCTGACTGTGTGGAGCTTGCAGAATGTCCTTGTGTCTGCGTGGGTTTCCTCTGGGTGCTCCAGTCCATAGATGTGCAGGTTAGTGGATTGGCCATGGTAAATGGAGGGTTACGGGCATAGGGTGGGGGTTATGGTTTGGATGGGATGCTCCTCGGAGAGTCGACGGGCTGAATTGCCTCTTCTTGTACTGTAGGGATTCTATGATTCTCTTACTTCACATTCTCATCAGCTTCTTGTCCAATAGTAACCACTTTTTATGAATGGATCATGTTGAGACCACTGTTCATTAACTTTCCCATAAGCCTCGCTTATCTATTGCCATCATTGGAAACTCTGAGCTTAATGTCACTCCTGGATGGATCTAGTCACTATCTTTCA